GAAACACTTGCTGCAGAGGGTCAAGGACTGCAGCCTTCAATATGGATTGAGGCTCAATGTCAAGAAGACCAAGATTCTCACCACTGGACCAATTGGCAACATCAGGATGGATGATGAAGAGATTGAGATTGTTCACAGCTTTAGTCTGCTTGGCTCCACAGTCAACACTCTTGGCACCAGCAGCCAGGAATTTAAAAGATGTATTGCGATGTGGAAAGTCTGCTGTTAGGGACCTCTTTAAAGTACTGAAGAGCAATAGCATCTCTCTGGAGACTAAGGTGCGTCTGATACAGGCCATTGTCTTTACAATCACTTGTTATGCATCAGAGAGTTGGACAATGACTAGGGAGGATAAAAGGAGAATGGGATGCCTTTGAACTTTGGTGTTGGAGAAAAGTATTGCGTGTACTATGGACTGCTAAGAAAACAAACAGATTCACCCTGGAGAGGGTTAAATCAGGCTACTCCTTCAAAGCAAGGATTCTGAGGCTTCCATACTTTGGTCATGTTGTAAAGAGAGACTGGTCCTTGGAGAAGGACATCATGCTTGGGAGGGTGGAGGGCAGGTGCAGGAGGGGAAGGCCCTCTGGAAGGTGGATTGTTTTGATGACTGGGGTAATCGGGATGGGCGTGTTGGAGACAGTGAGATTGGCACAGGACAGAGCAGAGTTTAGGGCTGTTGTACATAGGGTCGCTATGAGTCACAAGCAGCTCATGGGCACATAACACTAACAACAGCAACAACAACAATTCTTTTACAACATTCTTTTACTCTGTGTTATTTCAGGTTTCATATGTTGTGTGATATTATTTGGTCAGTTATTTTTGAGAACTAAGAAGACTCAAAAATTTTCACATTTATGGTAATTACTTCTTCTTCACTGTCTACCATTTTCAGCTCACAATATATTTCCTAGAAATGTTCTTTTTCTGATGGCAGAAGAAATATATGTGCATTTCAAGTTAATGGCTTGATTCTCTACTTCACTTTTCAATCTATTTTCAATGATACTATTTTAAACAAAATGAATTATCTATTTTCCCACCAGATCTGATGGAATTCAGAAGAAGTTAACCATGAAAAATCACACTATAGTCACCACTTTCATTCTCTTAGGACTAACAGATGATCCAAACTGGCAAATTGTGACTTTCCTTTCTTTATTTTTAGCATATTTATTGAGTGTAACTGGAAACATGACCATTATCCTGCTCACTTTTCTGGACTCAAGTCTTAAAACACCCATGTATCACTTCCTTAGGAATTTTTCTTTCTTGGAAATCTCATTGACATCTGCCTGTATACCTAGATACTTATTTAGCATAATGACTATGGATAAAAGGATTTCTTATAATGCATGTGTGGCACAATTGTTTTTTGTCATCTTCTTGGGTTCATCAGAGTTTTTCCTATTGGCTGCCATGTCCTATGATCGCTATGTGGCCATTTGCAAACCCCTGCACTATGCAACTATCATGAGCAGCAGAGTCTGCACCCAGTTGGTTGTTATCTCCTGGTTGGCTGGGTTGTTAGCAATTTCTCCTGGACTTATTATGGGTCTTGAATTAGAATTCTGTGATGCCAATGTTATTGACCACTTTGTCTGTGACTATTCTCCCGTCTTGAAACTCTCTTGTACAGAAACAAGTGTCATAGAATTGTTAAGTTTTATTTTGGCCATTGCCATACTACTGGGTACTTTAATGTTGGTGATGTTCTCTTATGGGTATATCATAAAAACAATTCTGAAGATCCCTTCTGCCCTGCAAAGGAAAAGAGCTTTTTCTACCTGTTCCTCCCACATGATTGTTGTTTCTCTCTCTTATGGAAGTTGTATTTTTATGTATATTAAACCTTCTGCAGAGGAAAGGGTAGCTTTAAACAAGGGCATAACACTACTCATAGTTTCAGTTACCCCTGTCTTAAATCCTTTTATATATACACTAAGAAATAAACAGGTGAAACAAGCACTGAAGAAGATAATTAAAAAACAATGTATTCAAATTTTGTAATAAAAAAGAAAATTTT